GAAAAGAAAAGAAAAGAAAAGAAAAGAAAAGAAAAGAAAAGAAAAGAAAAGAAAAGAAAAGAAAAGAAAAGAAATATTCAGGGTATCTTACTATGCCTGAAGGTAATGTCATTTTAAGAACAAAATACATTTGCCTGTTATTCCTCAGCAGACTGATTTTGCTAGAATAATCATAGGGAACGTCACTTAAAGTGAGTTATAAAAATCAATAAAAATAAATCAATTAAATACAAAGGAGTATGTTGTAGGTCGGGATGAAGAACGAAACTGATAAGGAGCTGAGCTATCTGCCCTTTCTTCTGACCCCAGATGTCTTCAAAATTCTCTCATTCACTTTTAATTTCTCTTTCCATTTTTCAATCACCTTCCTTCAGGAAGGAAGTCACATGCTCCTGCCACAAGGATTTTCTGTGGTATGCTCACCCTTACAGCAGAGCTCCATCTATGACTTGTGACAGGTTTTCCTATAGTTTTGTGGAAGAGAGGAAAGCACCTTAATTTCCCAAACTTAGCAGTGGGGCAAAACAGCATGAGAGGGTGAAGAGATTTATCCAATATCCCTCCAGGATTTGTGCATGAAGCAGGAGTGAATCTTGCAATATTTGAGACCAAGTTCATTAGCTCAACCAGAGGACTATTTTCACTCATGACTTAATATTCATACTCTTGATCCCAGACGGCTGCCCACAAGACATAATTTTATGGGCTTGGGGGTCCCAGCAGAAGGAAAAATTCCTCAGGAATATCCTCGTGGTTCCACCATGTCTGGGAAGAACACAGCCGTTCACAGCGCCTCACACACGTGTGGATTTGCAGGGACAGTTTTCCTCCCAAAGCCTGACCTCCAGCTGAGCAGGGGCCAGAGTGTGCTGCTCAGGAATCTCAAGCATGGATCTGCTGGCCCAGCCACAGCTTTCCCTTTGCCCAAAGACCTTCATGCCCAGGGGGATATTCCCAACAACACATGTAACACGGAGTGGAGCTGCGCCCACGCGGTCTTGGACATCACCAAAAAGCCCTTAGGGAGGCCTCACAGCATCGCTCTCTTCTTCTGAGCAGAGAAGGGAAGTTTGCAGACAGAGGCTGGGAGAAGCGTGCTGGCAGCAAGGGCTGTGCCTCTCTCCTCCTGACAGCCCTCATCCAGGGAGGCAACAGCTGACCTTTATATTTACCTCACAAGACTTGTCAGTTGCTATTCTTGCTCTTGAATAAGGGCTAGAGAAGGCTGCACAGGCACGTGTGTGAGCCCTCTATGCTGTTAATGATAATGTTGCAGGAACTAATCTCACAGTTATTGGTAGCAACAAGGAAATCCATCAAACAAGCACTCCCTGGGAGGGCCGAGCAATTGGTATTCCTGGTTGTCTTGGCATCTGGGTACATTTGGCCATGAGAGAAATGCTGATGGTTAGCTGAGCGTGCAATCTGTGTGTCTGTCTTTGGCACAGACTGGGGCAAGGACAAGGATTAGTGTTTGCATCTTGCACACATCTGGAACAACCCACTGAAAAAGCCAGGTTCACCCTAGTTCACAGCAGAAGAGACAAGGACACACACAGCCAGTATGGAAAGCAGAGTCTGGGCTCCAGTGAGTAAAACGGGGGATGCTGAACCAATGCAGGGCAAGTGCCAGGCCCCCTGGCCAAGGGGAGACCAGGATGAACCTTCAGAGAAGGGCAGGTGAGAATAACACAGTGCTTCTCTCCATCCTGGGAGGCATATCTCCGTCCTGGGAGGTTAAATCCCAGCACTGTCCCTTTACTTGGCACTGGGAGAGGGGCACAGAGAGGAATCCCACAATGCTGTAACTGAATTGCGGACGGCTGTTGACAGGCTTGCTCCAGGGAGTCTGTGAGGAACTGTCCACAAAAGGCCAGGAGCAGACAAGAGCCTGTCTGCCCAGCTAGCATATCCCTATGGGAAAGACCACTAGGCCAGGGATGACTTCAGCCCTCAAACACACCGCTGATACCAGGGACCCTGTCTTGCTCTTATCATGTGCAGCATCAGGCCTGCCATCAACCATTAGTGTCAGCAGTAATGTTAGTTCATTCAGGTTTGAAGCTGCAGCAATGTCACAAGCATGAGGGAACCAGGTTGCCAGGCCAATGAATCTGAGTACCATAAAGGAAAATCAAGAGAAACATTTGGGCACAACTGGGCTGGTGTGGCATTTTCCAGCACCCAGGCAGAAGAAATTTAAGCAAACTTCTGAATCTATGTTTCTTCAATGGACAACCCATTGAGAGTTGCTGGAGAAGAAAGTAATGGGATTAACACTACAGTTTGAATTTGCAGGAAGTACAACCCTCACTTGATTGCAA